TTGTCGGCCTCGTCGCCCGCGATGTACTTCAGGCTGACGTTGCTGCCAGGGGCGCCAATCCTGCCGCTGCGGAACTGCACCTGGGGGGCGGAGCAACGATGAACAGTCGCCCGGAAGGCGGCGGGCGCGCAAGCTGCGACCCCAGCGGAGCTGCTGGGAATCGCCGCACGCGCCCGACGCCTCTTCGGTGGGAGGTTCAACCCCGCTCGCCAAGTTGCGCGTGGTCTGCATCTCCCACCTCGGCTTCGCCCACTTGCGCTTCTTGTCCTTCTCAGCCGCGCCGTCCGTCTTCTTGCCCGCGGGGAGCGGCGTCTTCTTCTTAGCCGCGTTGCCCGCGGCAGGCGGCGTCGTCTTCTTTGCCGCGTTGTCCTTGCCAGGCGGCGTCGTCTTCTTAGCAGCATTGCTCGTGGCAGGCGTGGGGGCCTTCACCGCCTCGGCGTTCTTTTTCGTCTTGACCGCCATCGTCCTCTTATCCATGGCCGCGACCATGGCCAAAGCCGCCTCCGTCGGGGTCTTTCTCAGAGAGTCAGAGAGCCTGCGGCGATGCCGACCTTCTCAGCCTTGGGCGGCGGCGTCACGGCGACGACGTCGAAGTCGGAGTCGGAGTCGAGCTCGATCGGCAGCTCATGCTCCTTCTGCTTCTTCGGCGCGCGGGTCTTGCTGATCGAGGCCGTCTGGGCGGCGGCGGTGCTCAATAACGGCTGACAGTCGGCGGGTTTGCCGCCATCTTGTGCCGCCAGCTGCTGCGTCGAAGGCGCATCCGAACTCCCCGCCGCCATCGAAAGCTGGTGGTTCGAACCTGCTCGTTCTTGCAACGGCTCCTGCGGCTGCTGCGTCTGCGAGCGGTCGATCAGCTGGATGGCTGGGTTGGGCCAGCGGCCGCCGCTGCGCGAAAGCCCCACCTGAAATCAGGCGGGTCACCGCCGAACGAAAATATCCCCCCCCCCCCATCCCCCTCCAACCCGGCCCAGGCATTCAGAATTTCACACCACGCCCTCGATCCAGGCATCCAGAAACGCACCCCGCGCTGATCCAGGGACCCACCCCACGACCCAATACCAGGTGTCCCGCGGGGGAATGCGTTCTGTTATTCCCCGTGGAGCCGTCGGCCAGCGCCCAGAGAACGAGCCGGCCGCCGCGATGGGGAGGCGCTGCTGAGGAGAGCCGCCGCCGGGGCCGTGGGATGGCTGCAGCCCGCCGCGGGCGGGCGCAGGCGCGGGCAGCGCGAGGTGGCCGCTCTTCTTCCCTGCGTGGAGACCAATCAGCTTCGCAATCGCCACCATCTCGACGGGATTTATCTGCGGCGCCGTCGCTCCAACACCTGGTGGGAAGGCGTCGACGCACGTGATGGGGTACTAAGACTGGAGCCTCCCAGGCGTGATGGGGAGAGCCTGGACGCCATCCCTGGGCGGCGGCATCGTCGCCGCGAGATTCTTGAACGAGGATTTCACTGTGACCAGATATGACTGCAACAGCTCCCTCGTGATCTCGCCAGTCTCCACGCCTGTCTGCTTGCGCACCAGCAACAAGAATGCTGCCATATTGGCGGCCGTCGGGCAGCTCGGACGCCTCGAGCCAAGCGCCCCGAGGTGCTCTGAGAACGCCGCCATCTTGGCAGCGAAGCCCGAATGCGGCGAGAGCACGAAATCCCACAACTGAGGCGTCAGAAATTCAACGAACCCCTCAGAGTTCTGGAGCTTCCTCCCCTGCAGGCTGCCCGACGACAGAGCCTGCAAGAAGTCTCCCAACTCGGACTGCGCCCACCCCGCGCCGCCGCCCAAAGCAGCAAACTGCGCACTCTGGAGCTGCGACCAGCGCTGGGACGTCGCCGCCTGGATGCAGGCAGCAAGGTGCTCCGTCGCACTGCCGCGCGCTGCGAACGCCGCCCGCGCCTCCTCCAAACGGCCTCGAAGGATGCCCTCCATGGCAGCGATGCGGCGCTCCCGCGCGCCGAACGGAGCGCGCGACTCCCCGCGCGCGCGCCGCCCGGAGCCCTCGGAGGAGGGCTCGCCAAAAACGGCTCGAGCCAATACGCGCGCGACGGACATATCCTACCCCTGATCTTCCTGCTCCTCCTCCTCCTCCTCCCCCTCCTCCTCCTCCTCCTCCTCCTCCTCCTCCTCCTCCTCCTCCTCCTCCCCCCCCTCCTCCTCCTCCTCCTCCTCTTCCTCCTTTCCTTCCTCTTCCTCTCCCTCCTGGGTGAGGGGGGGCGCAGGGGAAAGAGGGTGCCGAAGGGGGGGTGGGGGAGGGGGCGCCGAAGGGTGCGCGGGGGGGGAAGAAGAGAGCTATGGGGGAGGGTGAAGTGAAGGAGAGGCCAGGGAGGGGAGGGAGGAGGGGGGTGGGCGGCTTGCCGCCGAGGGGGTGGAGGGAGGCGGCAAAGCAGGCCGCCGATAGGGCGGGGGGGGGAAGGCGGTTTGCCGCCATTAGGAGGAGAAGGCGGTTTGCCGCCAGAGGAGGAGAAGGCGGTTTGCCGCCAGAAGGGGTAGGCGGTTTGCCGCCACGGAGGGGGAGAAGGCGGATTGCCGCCATGGGGGGGAGAAGGCGGTTTACCGCCGACGGAGGACGAGGCGACGGAGGAGAAGGCGGTGCGCCGCCGAAGGAAAGGGGGGATAAGGGAGGGCCGGAGACACATGGGTAAACATTTCCTTCCTTCCCTCCCCCCTCCCCGCGGGCATGCGGGGCCGCCCGCAGCGCCGCGGCCGCGAGGTAGAGCAAGTGCCTGCGGCGCCTCTGTCCTGAACAACTGAAGTTTCTAGGAAAAAACACATCGGAAACCCAAGGGATTTCAAAAACAGTTCAAAATAACAGATACGCAAATGATTAACAAAAAAAACACGAATAGGTTCAGCCCCATTGACTTAGCAGAGATATCTAACTTAGTATATTACTTACATCTACACTTTCAAACACCATCAGTATCGCATATGCACACATGAGATGCGCGATCAACAAGTGTACGTTCTATGGCTTAACTAAGATTATGTAAGATGAGCGCTCTTACCGCACTCACAGCCACCCGACGATCAAAGTGGTATGGGGGGGGGGCGGGAGGTCCGGGGGTCGGGTCCGGGAAGGTGGGTTTTCCGCCAACCAAACCACCCCAACCCAACCCGAAGGCCCCGATTTGCTTTCTATTTCCAGATGGGGGGGTGTCGGGGAAAATTGGAAAAACAGGTGTGGAGCCCGTGCCCCCCACCAAGCTTAAATTCGGGTTTTCGAGTTCGGTTAGGGTGGCCTGGTATGCAGAAAGGAAGAGGGTGGCGTGGCCTGCATTTGATCGCTGTTCCGGGTCGGTTTTGGAGCTCGCCGAGGCGATCGTCGCGGCCTCCAGTCGGGGCATGCCAGCATGCCCCTTCCCATCCCCCCCTCCCGCTCCCGCTCTATGATGCAGACGCGTCTCTCAATTCATTGTTGAGGTGACAGAACATGGACAACCATGTGCTCTTGGTGAAGTGTTGGTTCTCACGCAACCGTCTGGACCTGAGAGGGGTAAAATTCACATGATTGCCTGCTGCAGGGGCCCGCGGAACGAACGACAAGGCAGACGCTTGGAAGGCCCTGAGATCCGACGCGGTCAAAGAGAGCTGCACCACCGCAAAACGCCTCGTCCGGAGCCACAGAGCCCATCTCCGTTGCGTGCCCCCGCTTTTGTATCAGTTTGTCGCTTCTGGCACCCAGCGGGGTGCGATTTATTCTCCCCGGCAAACATCCCGAGCCGCGTGCAACGTGTCTGGCAAATGTTTCATTCGTGTGCTCTGAGATCCCTGCCAGCTCCGCTGGTGGCGCAAGTGGCGAAGTGTCGGGACGCCCTTCGGGGGGACAGAATTGATGTGCTCCACGTCGGATCTCAAGGGAAAAAAAAAAGAGGGGGGTGACTAGGGGGGGGGGGATATCATGGCGTGGGCCATGATATTTCCCCAGATTTCAGGGCGCCTCTTCTTATTTCATTACGTCCCTGGCCCCCTCGCTGGGCCGCGCACGTGCCCCCGGTCATGATTTGCATCCCCCCCTCTTGGACACCCCCCTCTTGGCCGCTCCCGACATCTGGCCCCCACGCGCGCGACGCTCCACGCGCCAGCTCGATCCGCGAGGGCCCCCGGGCCCGAGGCAGGGCGCAGGCGCCTGGCGGCGCGAAGACATGGCGACGCCCGCAACTCTGGTGCGCCCCCGCGCCCCGAGGCTGCCCGGGTTGCACGCGGCTTGCTCCGGAACCCCCCGTGCCTTGACCTCCCCGCCTTTCGCTCATCCCTCTTCTGGGGTAGGGAGAGGGACCACCGAATTTCGGTGTCGCCAGATCGTCTTCTTCACATAAATCTACGGAAGCACGTGCACTTCTCGCGAATCTCCGAACGGTACGTGTATTTTCGTAGATTCGGAGAACATGTCTTAATTCTGGGATGAATCAATTCTGCAGGCGATCGCCTACTCGACCCTCCCCTCCCCCTCCATCCGGCTTCTCGCCCCCAGTCTCAAAGTCGCCCCCCCGGCCCCCCACAATTATTGGTTGTTTAAAGACGAGGGGAGTTTCGAGGAGGCGCCTCTGGGGGCCATGCTGACGCACCTCTTATAGAGGGATTAGTGTGTTTGGCCCGTCGAAAAGCGCACTAAATCGGGTATGGGTTGGGTGACGAGATCTGTCCAAATATGCCGCCCCTGGCGCCAGGCCCGTCCTGGGCACATGAGCGGTGTAGCATCCCTGGCCAGGCCATGGGGCGCATACTCGTATCATGTGTGCGTCGGCCTCCCAAGCGCGACGCGCGCGCTCAGAACTCTTACAGCATATGCTCCGTGATGGGCGCTTGCTGGCCATACCGCCTGGTACTGCAGGTTCGGTTGGGACGTGCGTTTTCAAGGGGGGCACACAGTATTAGCATCAGTACCTCCCATATTGACCGCTCCTGGGCCCAGGATTGGCCCGGCCTGGGGCGGTGGATGTGTACAGATCTCGCCGCTCTGAACTTGAGATCGTGAAACAAATCTTGTGGCCTCTCCTCCTGGAGGAGCTGCGAAAGACCGAGGCGAAGAGCAGGTGGCGCCCTGCCCTGCGAGCCGGCGTCCAGCCACTCCACCCCTCCTCTTCCTCCTCCTCCTCCTCCTTCTCCGCCTCCTCCCTCCCGCTCCTCCCTCGACCTCCTCACCGAGACGTGAATAATCACGCCTCCGTGTGCCAACGCGAATTTGTATCACTCCCACTCCGCCCGATGCCCGTGGCCATTTGGGCCCAGGCGTTCGGCCGATTTCGAACAAGGGTAAGGCGAAGAAGCTGACCTTGGGGCACGCCGCGCGGCGGCGGGTCAGCAAGGTGTTTCATGATTGCGATCTCCTCGGCCCGCGCGTTGTGTTGCAGGCCCAGGAGGTAGAGTTTGCGAAGGTGGCGAAGGCCGCGGACATCAGCGCAGAGGACGCGCGGCGGCCGCTGAAGGAATTCGTGGACCAGTCAGTGGCAACGGAGCCCGTGCAGAAACGTGTGGCGGCGCTCCATGGCTGCCTTGAACGAACAATGCCGGGTGACGCCACGGCGTGCTTCAAGATGACGGGTGGCCGAGGCGTGTCCGAGGCCCCACCGCCGACGGGAGCCCTTGCGATGGCTGCTCGAAGAGATTGGGGCCCCCTGCTCTTGAGACGGCACGGTCTTGCATGCACCTAAAGCGGGCGAAAGACGGCATCACGGGCCGCGCGCGCATCAACACGGTGAGGTCGCACGTGTGGGCCATGGAGACGATGTGCAGTTGGCTCCTTCGCGCGCGCGGGGTCCCGTGGCCCGTGACGATTGTGCATGTCATCGGCTACGTCTGCTGAGCCGTGTGCGCCGACGGTGCCCAACCAGTCCTTGCGCGCCATGGTGTGGGCGGAACGTGTGTCAGGTGTGGAGTGGGACGACGGACTCTCCATTCGACCAGAGCCACAGCAAGTCGTTGCGAACGTGAAGATACTCCTTTGTGTGGGCAGCGGCCCGGTCACGAGGGCGGCGCGATTCCCCAGCGCGCTCATCGGAGCCATGGAGCGGCTGGTCACGGACGGGCTCTTCACACCTGCGCGGGGTGGCGTGGTTTCGCCTCGTCAAGGTGTGTGCAGTGCTGCGCCACGACGACCGCAGCTGGCTCGCGCCGCAGCGCATCGCCTGGGACGTGCGAAGACCTCAGCGGAGCCGGGCGCAAGATGCCGGAGCTGCCGTTTGTGGTATCCCGCGAGTGCTACATGCTGGCTCCAACATGGATTCTGACAGCATTCCATCGTGGCAAGAGATCGCGGAATTCGAGAGAGACTTCCTCCTGCCGCGGTGCGACGACGCGGGGCAGGCTGTATTTCGCAAGCCCGGCGGGCACGCAGAAGCAGCGGCAGCGGGACAGAAGGTGTCTTGGGCGATGCCCAAGACAGAGGCGTGAACGCGCGAGGAAAACGAGCTCCTCATATGCGAGGAGGCCGTCATCTTCTGGACTTGGCGTTCGGGGCGGGCGGCGATCCTTTCGGCCATTGCGGCGATGGGGACTTCGAAGAGCGAGCGCGACTACCTGGGCAGGTTGCCGCTGGAGGTGCGGACGCTTACGCGAGGGCGAACCGCGCAATCGTGTCTAAGTTTGCTCCAGCAGTGGTTCACGGAAGTGTGGCGTTCTGGGAAAGCCCACGTGGAGCTGGGCGAGGCACTGGCCATTCCAGACCTGGCAAATTGGCTGGTTAAAAGAAGGAGCCTCTCAGTGCAGAGGGCGGCGAGCGTGGCTGCCAAGACCTACGCGGCCCTTGCAGACTTCGCTGGCGGGGTAGCGGTGGCGCCCCGAGTAAGCGAGGAGTGCCCGTCGGGAGCGGGGACCACAGAGGCCGCCGCTGAGGGCGGAAACGGAGGACGCCGCGCCACCAGCGGGGGCAGCAACGCCCCCGCAAAGAGTGCCGAAGCCAGCAGCTGGACGAACGTTCAGATCGGCGACGGAGAGCAATGCTCCCCCCCATCGAGGGCAAGGGCGCCGAGGAGGACGGCAGCCACCTCATCGCGCACACGAAGAAGCGCAAGGTGGCCAGGTGCCGCGAAGGTGGGGGCTGTGGCTGGGCGAGCGGCATGTCGCCAGCTAATTCGACTTAGCCCGACAGTAAACCAGACCCGTCGGCAAACGACCTGGTTTGCAAGATGCGTCAGCGCTTCATCTCGGCCTGAATGGCGAAGGCGGCCGACGAGAGCGAGGGCGACGGCCAGGGCAGTTTTTGCCACCTCTGGTGGTTCCGAGGAGACCCGCCGCCCAGGTAAAGGTAGCGGCAACGGCGGGCCCCGCGTCGCTCTCGGAACAGGGGCACCACGGCCCCCTCGATGGAGCAGCCCCGCGCGACCCCTCGGGTCGGGGGTCCTCGCTCAGGAGCGAGCTGGACCAGAGCCAAAAGCGAGCGCCGGCCGCGGCGCGGCCCGGGGGGCCCCGCCCGTGCAGTCAATGACCAGAAACAGGCCAGTCTCGGCAGAGGTGATGACCCTGCACGTGGGAAAGGCCACCGTCCTGAACTGATCTGTCCTCCCCCTGCGGCTGTGCTATCGCCCCTGTCCGCCCGATCCGACCATCCATCCTCCAAGTTTCCTCCTCCCTCTTCGTCCTTGTGTTCGTCTTCCCCGACATCGTCATCATCAGTCTCCGTTTCCCTCTCTCCCCTCCGCCCCCGTCCGGCCTTTCTAGCTCCCCAGCACAAGGCGTTTTCCGTGGGCGGGCAGGAAGGAGTGATAAGGTATGCGGTAAGAGGTTGGATGCAGGACATAATCAGGGGAATAGAGAGAGGGACAAACGGGAAAGAGAGAGAGAGAGAGATAGAGAGAGAGGCACACATTGCGATACATGTGTATATATACATACACACATACACATATACATATCTCTATATATATATGTGTATGTACAGAAGAGGAGAGAGAAAGAGAAAGAGACACAGAGAGAGAGAGAGAGACAGAGAGACAGAGAGAAAGCGAGAGAGAGAAAGCGAGAGAGAGAGAGAGAGAGAGAGCGAATGATTGATAGGTGGACTCTGACAGTGCTCGCGGCGAGGACGTAGGTAGGGCAGGTCCCTGGTTGATCGGCAGGAGAAGGGTTTTCTTCGCACCGTCTCCATCGTTCAGGTTGATGTTCCAGTTTGGCCCAACAAATTCTTTGATGGGCCCTAGGTCGCCAAATACAAGCAGCAATCATTTAGCGACGGTTCGCTCGTACTGGCTCGCGTACCATGCAATGGCCCGTGGCTCTCGCCGCTTCCGTGTATGAGCGTGCCCCCTGGTTGGGGCATTTTTTTCCCCGTGCAAGGTCCCAAGTAACTCCATACATAGTAAGGCATGCCGTTCGGGAGGGCGGACCCTAACGGGCGAGCCGGGCGGGCGGAACCTAATAGCTATGGGCGTGTGTTGCCGGCCGGGTGTGGCGTTAAAACAGGCGGGCGGGCTTCCACTCAAGCGAACGGGCAGATCCTAACAGGCGGGTCACGCTGGCGGACGAAGAGGAAGTCCCATGCGAGAGTGCAATTCTTGAGTGGAGCAAAAGCTATCCCTGAGTACATGTCCAGGAAGTCCAATGCCAGAGCGCCAGCGCTCAGCAACCTGTGAGGGTGTCTTAGGCTTAGGCCCGATTCCAGGATACGATGGTTGGACGTTTCGGGCAAGTCCGCGATCCTTAAGCGGCGAGAGCGCGATTATGTTATACATTGCCGGGAAGTCAACAGGATGCGATTGTCGACGGGTGCGTTTTCATTCGAAAGCAACGGGATCCAGACAGGGTCGGTCGAGAATCGACGTTCTGCACAGGTGTGAATTCATTTTGAATATCGTCGCTCGCTGCCCGTCGCGCTTGTCCTGGGCGTACCCCTTTGGTGTTTTGTTGGGGTCGTGGCAGCTCCTATCAAGGGAGGAAAGCCACCCAGACCAGACAGCCGGCGTTTCTGAAACGGCCCTGAGCGTCTACAAAACGCCCTGCCCCGATCGAGTTCTTCTTGGCGCGCGTGTACCAAACGACTTCGCGTGCCGGGGTGGTTAATCAGTTTTTTGTGTATTATCATTATTATTATTGTTATTACTATCTTATTATTATTATTATTATTACTATTATTAGTATTATTCTTAGGCTTACGCCACACCGCCGACCCCTTGGGGGGCTTTTCGGGGGCGGGCAGGCTGTATTCGGACTCTTTTTGGTCGTCTCGTAGACTCTTTCCGTGGCGTTTTTTGGGCTTTCTTCGCCAATGTGTCTTGGTTGTGTCTTGGGGTGGTTTTCGCCAATGTGTCTTGGTTGTGTCTTGGGATGGATAGGGGGACGTGGAGGTGCGAGGACGGGGGGAGGAGCAGACGGCGGAGAAGGTGGAAGGTGTGCTGGTGGAGGGAAGATGACACAGAGAGCTGAAGGGGAAGGAGGGAAGAGGGGGCGAAGAAGAGGATGAAAAAGAGCAGGAAAATACGACGCCGAAGACTAGGGCGGCGACGGACTGGCGCCGTCTTGCGAATCCTCTCGGGGGCCTGCGGGAGGGAGTTTGGATGTTTCTGGGGAGCTGTTTGGGAGCCTCTTGGGGCCTCTTTTGGACTTCTAGGGGGCCTCTTGGGCGCCTCTTGGGGCCTCTTGGGGGCCCCTTGGGGCCTCCTGGGCGCCTTTTGGGGCGGAAAGCTAGAATTTTAGGTTCGTGGTCCCCGTCTGGAGCCTTCCTTGGGGGCCTCTTGGGGCCCTCTTGAGCTGTCTTGAGGCCCTCTTGGGCCGTCTTGAGGCCCTCTTGGGCCGTCTTGGGGCTCACGTGGGGGCCTCTTGGGTCGTCCTGCGGCGTTCTTGGGGGACTCTTGCGCCGTCCTGGAGCGTCGGAGGCCGAGAAAAGCGAGAAGCCCAAAAACCTTTAAACAAGAAAAAACAAAAAAAATGAAAAGCAATAACTTTTGCCTTTTGGGGCCCTCTTGGGGGGCCTCTCGGAAGCCTCTTCGGGCGTCTTGGCGGCATCTTGGGCCTTTTGAAGGCAATCTGCACCGTCTTCGAACGATTTTTCGGCGACTCGGGGCCCTCTTGGACCGTCTTCGGAGCTTCTTGGGAGCCTCTTGGCTCGTTTTGGGCCCCCCAGCTGACTTTCTGGAACGTATGACCCCCCCTGCCCGCGCCGGGGAAGCCCGGACCGGCCGGCCGGGCCCCCCCCCCCCCCCCTCCAAATCGACCGGACCAGGCTCCCGGGGGAGGGGTTTGGGGAGGGGGAAGAATCTCACACGCCGATGATCCCCAAGGGGTCGGCGGATTATTATTATTATTATCGTTCTTATTATTCATATTATTAGTATTACTCGTATTATTAGTATTATTATATATTGCCTCTGTGAAGGGCTCCACCCACTCACGCGGACTGCGACTTCCAGGTGCGGCCGCACCACCCTGCTCTGCTGTTGCTGCCGCCGCCTCTCGGTCGGTCGTCGTGGTGGTGCGCTCTAGCTACGAGCGATAGATGTATAAATAAATAATAAAACAAACATGAAGGATCTCTATCTCAGGCAAGCGCCGACAGGCTACATCGGGCGAGCCCGGGGCACCCAGGCGTGCTGGGCGGACGGACCCCCAGCGCTGACGGGCGGGTCGGGCGGGCGGGCCCAGACGGGCGGCCTCCCGGGACACGGATTCTGCTGTCCCACCGGTTCTTCTTCCTCCTCCTCCTCCTCCTCCTCCTCCTCCTCCTCCTCCTCCTCCTCCTCCTCCTCCTCCTCCTCCCCTCTTCGGCGGGGCCCCTCGAGGCGCGTCCTGGATCCTCTGGCGAGCGAAGCGCGCGCGGAAGCCAGCAGTGCACAAGGGGAGGGCGGACGCCCGAACCCGCCGAGCGCGCGCCGCCAAGGCTCAAGAGATGCGGGTCAATGCAAGCGGGGGTCAGCCAGGGCACCGGATCCTGCAGGATCTTGAGAAGACCCCCTCTGACTGACCCGGGTTGGCGAGCCGCTCGTGGCCGCGAGGCGGCCGCGCACGTTGGCCGACCCCAGTTTGCGAAGTGCTGCGCTGCGGTTTTTCTCCTGCACTGCAAATTTGGTTTCCTGCTGACCCAGGTCTGGATGGACCCGGGTCAAAAGATCCCTGATTCCGACATGCTTCTGGCCTTGATCACCAAAGATAGTTTCGAACACCCAGAGTTTCGAGCGCCAAGGAGACAGTATCGGAACTGGGAGGGTCTTCGCGCGTCGGGCGCGGCGAGGTGAGAGTCGTGCGGCACGGTGTCGGTCCTTTTTTTTTGGTGTTCGGCACTATTTCTGGGATGTGGTCCTGTAAGTGCGCGGGTATCCAAGCGGGTGAACTAGCGGACCCTGACGGACCTGCCAGGCGAAGCTCAATGAGCGGGTCGTGCAGGCCAGGCACGCGCCGAGGAAGTCCAAGGCAGTCCTGCATTTCTTGAAGGGCACTGGCGCGACCCCCTCCGCGAACCTCGAGGAAGTCGGAGCCCGAGAGCGCAATTCGTTAGCACTTTATGCGATTTTGCGCATGCGAGGCCGCGATTCTGGAGCGAGCCGTTAGAACGTCTCGACTGAGATCACGATTTCTCAGCGTGACTGCGGCGCCTGTGAGCAGACTGCAAGGCGGCCCCGAGCGAGAGCGCGATTATGACATGCATAGTGTGCACGTCTCTGATGCGAGCGCGATTCTGACATGAATTGTGTGCACGTTTCTGGGGCGAGAGCTGGTGCTGCCGCAATCAGGCGACTGGGGGCCAGCGCCGCAGCCCAAACACAGTTTTCGAAGGGCAGGGAAGGACCACAGGCTAGGCACGGCCATGCCGAAAACCACTCTTCGGGCAATCCCGTGTATAAGATTCGGGCCGGGCGAAAATGGGGGATAGGGAAAATTGGGGTTACGAAATCAACTGCATGCGGCTGGTTTCGGCCCCGCCGCCGGGCCCATTCCTCGATACATGGGCGCCTCCCGGCGCCAGGGGGCGCCGGGAAAATCAGCTACGCGAGCTGATTCTCAACCCCGCCGTTTACTATCCCCCCTTTTCGCCCGGCCCGAAAGATGCTGCGCAGGATGGACGGAGAACACGAGGGCAGCATCAATCGACAGAGGGGGAAACAGTTCGATGGCGGTACCGCTGAGGAGTTCAGGGGGGTCAGGGGGAGGAACAGCAGCAGCAGAAGGCGGAAGGAGGTGGTGGAGAAGCAGAGGGAGGGAACGTGGAGTGGAGCAGGAGGGGGAGGGGGAAGAGGGCGAGCTGGAAGGAACGAGAGAGGAGGGGGACAGGAGAAACAGGACGGCCAAACGCGTGCGAAACGTTCTTTTCATTTTGTAGACGCTAGTGAATGTTCAGGTTCAGCGCGTCACCGCTATGACGTGATATATTGGGACAGCGAAGTGAGGAGGGTATTCATGAGCAGAACATAGGCGCGGAGGTGGGCGGCCGATTCCCGGCCAGAGGCAGCGCGAGACAGACGCGATGGACGTCGAGCATGGCGCGGGAAAGATGCAGGCCGTATTGCTCGCCCGTTCTCTACCTCATCCTTTTACTTCAGTATCGTCTAACCTATCCCCATCCTGACTGGCTCATGGTATGTCAGTGTGGTTGTCAGTTCTAAAATTTCTGCGCGGCCTCCGGTCCCCTTGGAGGCCCTGCAGTTGTTTCTCCCGTGCGCCGTTGCGTAGGCGGCAGGCGCGCCGCTGCGCGCCAACGGGGCCGTCGCGCCATCGGCGGGAGCAGGCTGGCGGGCGCGGGGCTCGGAGCTGTGACCACCTTGGAACGTATCTCCATCCCTATGAATGGCGCCACCCGATCTCGATGCCAATCTTAAGGATCCCCTCAGCTCCTGAGGGCACACCCCCGAGATGGTCATCGCCTTGGGCTTCCCGATCTCGGAGATGGGGACAGAGGTGAGCTCGAGGCCGACCGAGCCGGACTTGCCTCGTCTCGACCTGATGCCGCTCGCGTCTTGCGCGCTCGTTTTTGGCCCCCCCGCGGCCCCCCAAAAGCCGCGCACCAAAGGTCACTTTTACCCAGGGTCACTCTTGCGTGTAGCCGAGAGGAGGAATAAGGGCAAGTCCTGGAACGCACCAGTGCAAGTCTCCAGGCACACGGGTCTTCGAAAAATGGTTCCCCGTGTGCCTCGCGCCCGTCGTTTGGCAGCCGCGTCGCCCATGGGGCTGGATGCACCCGAACCCCTGGAGCGCGGCCTCAGGCTGCGCCCTAGAAGCGAGCCAACGTGCATTGGCCCTGAAAGAGGCAGTCCGCTTCGCGTCCTCCTCCCCAGTCGTATGCGCCCGCGTTGGATTATACACATGCAAACATGCACATGGCAATGTGGCGCGCACCCCGAGTACGGTAGGTTCGTGCGGCGTTGGCGCGCCAGCGACGCCGGCGAAAGCCCTCAAGGTTGAACTCTGCGACGCGGAAGCACCGAGGGGCACGGTAACGCCGCTGGACCCGACTGGATTCAACCTTGAACGATCGGGGCCGCGATCGGTTCAAGGTTGAACAATCGACGCGGCGTCATAAACCTTTGCGCGCGCCGACGCCGCGCGAACCTACCGTACCACCACAGGGCCGCGATGTTCCTCCAAGAGGGCCCGAGCAGGCCCCCGAAGGAGGGCGCCTCACGAGAGCTTCACAGGCTCGGGGGGGATTTTTCCCAGATCCATGGGACACCGTCGGCTCGCAGCCAGTCGCGAATGTTAGTGAGGGCGAGGCGATGTGGGCTTGCACCAGCAGTTTGAACGGCTAATTTTACAACACATAGCTTGCAGCAAACGGAGCCCAGCCCGAATCATTCAATATCAGGCAAGTTGTGAGGATTCCTCAAACGAAACGCGTCCACACCATGCCACACCTGGCAAATCGCAAGGCGTCTCAAGCGCAACCGCGCTCAAACCATTCCCAACCAGGCGCATCGTAAGGAAGCATCAAGCAACACCCCAACCAAACCGGGCCAATCCAGGGAGATGGTGAGGACGTAGTAGGCGAAACCGCGCCATTCACAATGCCAAAGCAAGTACATTACGAGGATGTCTGAAACGACACTGCGCCGAAACCAGGCTACACCAGGCAAATTGCGAGGACGTATCAAGCGACCCCGACCCCGCACCAGGCCAAGCCATGGCCAAAACCAGGCAAATTCTGATGATGTCTTAGGCAGGGCGCCCTGTCAAGCTAAGCCACACCATGCAAACCAGCCTACGGCGCTGTCGCTTTGGGTCACTTACTCTTGTAATGTCATGTTATCGGGTTCGGGGCGCTTCACTCATGGCATTACCATGGAGCTGGGCGCAACAGCATGCCTTTGTCTTTCGGTTGTTGTTCGGACTGCAGTGTGGCGGTGGGGAAAGTATTCCCCAGCCTGTAGAAGAGGCCCAGGACTGACAACATGGGGACCAACATGAGACCTCAATCTTCCCATCTGGTTTCGTCTCCCTTTTCTCCTCCACCCTCCCTACCTGCCTTCCCTGTCTCTTCCTTTGACGAAGGGCCCAACATCGGTTGCAAAGTCACAGGATTGGCCCCAGGCAGTCTTACGAAAGTGCCACCATGGCGGCCCTCCGCTCCTTCAGCTCCCTACTTGCTGTGCGCCGCCCTGCACTGCAGCCGCCGGCTCCTCCCCTCGGTGCGCCCGCGACGTCGCTCCGTGCTCGCTGCCAGGAGCTGTCCTGCGGCCCGGGCTCATGCTCTGCCATTAATTGTTGCATCCGTTTCCGCATTTTATTCAACCCGTCTTTGTCATCAGTTTGCAATCAGCAACGATCGCATTCAACCAGCAGCAGGCATCCACAACCAGCATGACTCAATTAACAAGTTCGAGGACCCGGGTGGCCTTTACTTGTTCATTGAGTCACATATTCGATTAGGTTTTCCAATTCTGATACGTGGGTGATCTCGTTGGCCAAACCGTTGCCCGTCAGCGGAATACTTGCGGAAGATGTCTCCGGGACGGGGTTGGGACGAGGATACATCCGTTCCAGAGCGTTCCGGAACGCTCCGTGAACGCTTTGAGGAGGCCGCGGCGCCTCAGACATCCTCCAAGCTGCCGCACCTCAGAGATCTTCGATTATTCGTCATCCGATCTTATCCTCGCCCTGGCTTCGTCTTAGGTCTTAGGTTCGCGCCGCGTCGACGAGGCGGTGACCCCAGCACGGGAGTTCAAAGCTGACCGGCGCCAGTGGCTTGGAATCGGCCGATATACAATGGCCTGCGCTATCGGAGAGCCGCGGTCGTTGAAGGTTCAACGATCCACGCGGTTTCAGAACCGAGCGCCGAATACCGTGGCATGCGCCTACCGTAAAGCGAAGGGAGAGGTCACGGCCCGGCCATGCATTTCGGTGTTCCACCGCTGGCCGCTCGTTGGTGTGGCCGTTTTTTGGCCACATGTTCGCCTAACCCTCTCCCCCGTTTTTCTCATCTCTTCATCTCAGGCCGTTTTTCCGGCTCATCCTCCTCATCTCCTTCCCTCCCCATTTTCGCCTCATCCTCCTCATCCTCATCTCCTCCCCCTCATCCTCCGCCTCATCCTCCTCATCGTTTCCTTCCTTCCCCGTTTTCTCCTCCTCCTCTTCCTCCTCCTCCTCCTCCTCCTCTCCTTCCCTCCCCATTTTCGCCTCATCCTCTTCTCTGCTTCCCTCCCCATTCTGTCATCCGAAAAGGGGGGCTTCCCGACGATTCAAGCAGACAAAATCCCAGACTACTTGTTTATGCAATGGCTCTCGATTCAGGCTGACACTCGTACAGAGAGTGAGCCGGTGAATAGATCCTGTCGCAACTCGGGCCATAGGAGCTGTGCGAAGGCACCGATCCCGGGACGGCCACCCCCTGGCCCCAGGATGGGTGTGCGTATGCCTCGCGGACCGGGCCAGGGGGGGAGGCGCATGCACCGACCGTGGGCTCGGGATGGCCTCAGCACAGCACGGCCGTAAGGCGTATGCACCGACCTTGCGTGCACCGACCGTGAGGCGTGGCGTGTGCGCCACCAGGCGTGCGGGGCGCATGCACCGATCGTGTGCTCGGGAGGGCCGCAGGCAGGATCGGCGCATGTGCACAGCCCTCCTCCGTCCAGCAGCCTCCTCCGCCCTCCTGGGAGGGCCCACCCCTGTGGCCCCGGGACGGGTGTGCATGTGCCTCCCTTGGCCGGGCCAGGAGGCGGAGGCGCATGCGCCGATCGTGGGCTCGGGAGGGCCGCAGACAGGATCGGCGCGTGTGCACAGCGCACTTCTCCTTGCAGCAGCGTGCTCCCCCCGTCTGGCATCCGAGGGCGTGAGTCTTCCACGGCGTGGCTTCTCCCAGAGGCCTGGGCCCCCTTCCAGGGACGGGCTGTCTCTTTGTGGGCCCCGGAAACGGCAGGGCCGTTTTTTCACCGTTTCCAGAAGCATGTCCCTTAAGACTGGAAACGGCAAAAAACGGCGACCGGGAACGGCAAAAAAACGGCTCCAGGATTGGAACCGGAGCTGGACCTGGTCAAACAACGGCGACGGAACCGGTAAAACAACGGCGTCGGAACCAGCAACAAAAACGGCAAATCGGAATCGGTAAAAAACGGCCCTGTCGTTTCCAGGGCCCACTAAGGGGCCCCCGAACCGCTTGCTGCCGGCCCTGGGTCCCGGTGAGGGCCCCCGGAGGCCGACGACGGCCAAGCACCGTCCGCCGTGCGGATCGGCCAGGGCTGCCCCACCTTGCCAGCCCGGGCCGAGCGGCCCCCGCCTCTTCGGAGGCAGGGCTCGGAGTCGGCTCGGGTATATCCGCGCTCGAAAGCAAACCTGATCCGGCACCATCCCGCTTAGTTCGACTAGACGTAAGAGTGACCTTTCGCCGGAGTGACCTTTGGTGCGGGCACAGGTGGGTCTCCAGGTGGCTGAAAACGAAGCAGGAGCAGCGGCTTGCGCGTCCAGGTTTGGTCCCCCACGGCCCCCCAAAAGCCGCGCTCCAAAGGTCACTCTTACCCAGGGTCACTCTTGCGTGTAGCCGATTAGTCCAGCTCGCCCCCGCGTAATCTGGCGACAGCCCCATTGCGGGACGGGAAAATGACCACAGCGTTTGCTTCTTGTTTGCGCCGCCTTCCAGCCGGCCGAAAAAGAAGCAGTGGTTGTGGTCAGTTCCCTGGTGCCAAGCTCAACGAAACTAACCACAACCACTGCTTCGTGTCTGCGGGCTGGAAGGCGGCAACAAAAGAAAAGCAGTGGCTGTGGTCGTTTTCACGCCCCGTGCCCACTCAATCGGGCCCTGTAGCCCCTGATCGTTCCGACGAAGGCCTCCGCGGAGCCAGGAGCTGGCTCCTGCCGTCCGCTTGCGACGGCAGCGACAGGAGCGACACTCGCAAAGTGCCTACTCGCAAGCGTCCGAAAACATTTGCTTGCTTCGATATACTTGTCGCAGCTCCTTCGCGGCAGATCCAGGCCATTTGCTAGCAGTTACTTTGCGAGTCGTGGGACGCGCTTGTCTCCTGGCGGCCCAGGCCCAGCTCGACATCCCCGAGGCGGCGCGCCTGCAGAGGGAAGCGCGCGAGGAGGCGGAGCGCGAGCTGCGCCAGGCGGAGGAGCGGCGCGTGGCGGAGGAGCGGGGGCGCCGCGCAGAGGGGCTGCTCCCTCTGCTCGGCGGCGGGCGCAGGGGAGGGTGCTGAGGTGGCCAAGAGTGGCGCGCACGGGGGGGCTGGCTCAGGTGGCCAGGTGTGGGGGCTCCCGTTCGACACGGGTGAGTTTCCAGATTGCGGCTTCATGTGGCGTCGTGGGGTCTGATGGCTGCTCCAGTGTGACTGGGCGGGATCTCGTGGGGTAGGTAGCAGGCGGGATGTCGTGGGGGGGGCACCCAATCTCATTGACTCGGCGCTCGCTCGACTGCGTGAAGGCACCATGCTCGGCCACCCGAGGTGGGCGTGCCTCATCCACGGAGGCGTGGGGTGGCCTCTCGGAGAGCAGGGGGCAGGGGCCAGGCCTGGGAGGCTTCCGAGAGGGCCGCTGAGAAGCCCCCCCCCCCCCCCCCCGCCCGCTTGGGAGGCCGCCCCCCCCCCTCTCGCGCCGCCCCGCCCCCCCCCGCGCGAGCCGCCGGGCCGCTGCCCACGCCGTGCGCTCGGGAGCACGCGCCCGGAGGCGCGTGGCGCGCGGCGGGCCGCCTGCCCTGGCCTGGCGGTGGGCCCCCTCCTGCAGATCGGGAGGGAGAAAAGCACACACAGACACAAGCGTTCAATCATCCACCCCAGGAAAAAATATGGGGAAGAATATGGGAGGTGGGGGGGACGACGAGAACCCAGAAGATATTGGAAAATATCGCGGATCCTCGGATATGTGTCTCTACCATAGCACCCCGCAAATGCGGATAGGAGTGAGGGGGCGGTGGGGACGTCGGCAGTTTGCGAGACTTTGCAGAAGCCCGCCGCAGGCACCAACGTTCCACAAATTGTACAACGAGCCCGCCGCAGGCGCCGATCTTTGCGTTAAACCAATGTGGGTAGGCCGCGGGTTGGTCGCAAATGGGTCGCGGGTGGGTCGCGGGGTGGGTCGCGGGGTGGGTCGCGGGGTGGGTCACGGGTGGGTCGACGACAACAAACAACAACAACAACAACAACAGCAACAACAGCAACGACAACAACAATAACAACAACAACGACAACAACAACAACAACAACAGCAAGAACAGCAACGACAACAACAATAACAACAACAACGACAACGACGACGACGACAACAAAAACAACAGCGACAACGCAGCAAGCAGAACCCTCACCGCGGATTCCCTCGTCAGCCACGCACCCAGGGACAATGAACGACCGTTCGGCCCCCTCCGCTCTGATCCGCGTGTCCCGGGGCCCCTTCGGAGGAGAGCGGGCCTCCACGCCGCCCCTGGGCACGGCAGGGCGGGGGGGGGGGGGACCGGAGGGGGGAGAGGCGACGCCAGCGCCACCAGTCAGGGGCAACGATAGGGGGGGATAGGTATAGGGGGGGATGCGTCGCCCCCCAATCGCCCATTGATCGCCGATAGGGGCCCGATTGCCCCGACCTGCCCAGGAAGGTGCGGATTCACGATCTGAGGCCTATCGCCGATCTGTCGATGATGTATCGCCGATTCCAGGTCGATGCATTCCCCCCTGTGCCAATCCCCCCCTGTCGCTGCCCCTCAACCAGGGGGGCCACCTCCAGCGGGGAGGTCCACGATGCCTCCCCGAGCTGGAGGCTGGGGGTGTCTCGAGCGAGAGGGGGGACCACACCACTGGAGACCCCCCCCCCCTGCTCCTCGCAGCTCCTCGTCCTGATGGAGGTGTCGCCTTCCCTTGTTCCTAGGGGAGCGGCCCTGCCCGATGTGAGGGGGGCGGGATCTAGCTGTGTTTGGCTGACCTGATCAACTCCACAGCAGGAATGACCTTTGCAGACGACGGGAAACAGGCGCTCGCCAGCCCCCAGTCTTATCCTGTGCGACGTCGGGCGGTTTCCAAGAAGTCTAGAGTCTAGCCCTGCGCGCAAAGCCCGCCTGCAGCTGATCACATGCGAGAGGCGACTCAAAACGGGGTCGTCTTGACTGGCATAGGCGTGTAAGCTGACCGCGTAAACTCGCGCGTTCGTGCCCTCGTTCCCGGTGTAACGTGCCGCGCTGGCGGCTGGCGGCCCACTTCAGCCGCCGCGTGAGGTCGCTACGCCATCTCGCGTGAGACCCGCTTTTGATCGTCGCTCCTGTGCCTCAGGCGACGCGCACCCTCCTGCGGATGCAACTCCTGAGAGGTCAAATTCTGACTTTGCCTTGGTCCGAAATCCAGTTTAATCCCGCTGCATCCCGCCTAATGTGGCTTCGTCCCGCTTATTCGGGCGCAATCCCGCTGAATCCGAGGCCCAATCCGGCGCGACAGCCCTCCAATGGGGCTTACTCCTCGCCAGTCCTTCCGACGAAGATCTCCCAGTAGTTGCCTCCTCACCCTCCTCCTCCCTGGCTCCCTCGTTGGGGGGAGGGGGGTGCGCGGCGGGGCCGCGAGGAGGAGCGGCTCCGCGCGGTGCAGCCGCAGGAGCGCCTCGCGGTCCGCGCGGCGGAGGCGCGGCTCGGCGGGGGGCGGGGGCAGCTCCACGAGGGGGAGCTGCGCCGCGGCGCTCGGCCAGCGCCCATCGACGACGACGACGACGACGACGACGACGACGACGACGACGACGACGACGACCTCGACGACGACGACGGCGACGACGACGACGACGACGACGACGACGACATTGGCGAACGAACGATCACCGCCGCCGCCGCCGCCGCCGACGACGACGACGACGACGACGAGGACGAGGCCAGCCGCCCGCCTCCCAGTCGGCACCAAGACCTCTCCTGGTGTACGTGGTGGCTAGAGTTCAGAGGCGTATATCCAGCCGAAAAAGCTACGAGATCTTCCCGCGGAGGCCAGAGCAGTGCCGGGAGGCTCCAGCAGCTCACACGATCGACGAGGCCGACGGTGGCTGCGGCGACGACGACGAGAAGGAGTCCGCAGCCGCCGCCACCGACGATGTGCGGCTGCCGACGGCGGGGGCCGCGTTCTCGTCGTCTCGGGGGTGCGAAACGACGGATAGGCGAGGACCTCCAGGCCGGGTTTACGCCGGCCAGGGCCTTCTCGCACTGGGGCCCCGCGGCGCAGGGCTGCCGACCATCGTCGTCGGCGTCGACGCCGCCGACGGCGCCGATGCCGTCGACGACGACGACGACGACCCCCACGAGCGTTGCGCGGCGGAGGCGGCGGAGGAGAAGCGCCAGGCCGACGAGGAGATCCGGCGCGAGGAGCAGCGCGTCCTGGCGCAGGAGGCCTCGGGCTCCCCTCCTCTGGCGGGTGCCACGCTCCGGGGCGGCGTCGGTGGCGGCGGCGGCGGCGGCGGCAGCGCGCTCTCTGGCCTCCGCCCGACGAGAGTGTCAACATGGTGGCCCTGGTGCGCGCTCTGACAGCTGGCACCCGACGCGCCCGAAGCGAGACTCCTTGAGGGGCGCCCACAGCAGAAACGCGCGCTGGATCGGTCGGCTCGGTGCGCGCGGTCTCGCGCCGCGGTGCCGCTCCCGACGGTAGACAGCGACGCTCTGTTTTTTGTTGTGGGGAGCAGTTCATGTAGTAGTTGTCGGCTCTCATCGCCACGGCTGGACGTTTTCGTCATCTGAATAGTCTTTGCATGTGCCATTTGGATAACGGACCCACTATAGATCTCTTCTTGCTGGTGAGAGAAAAGGCGACCCACTATACATCACCGTGGGTAGGCGACCAAGGTCGATGAGGAGCACCATAGCGGTAATTCCAGACTTGCTTGTGTTGCTCGCCGGAGCAGATACGTACGCAAACAGCACCCTCACCCCAAATGGTGAGACTTACTCTTGCATTGCGGCAGCGGGCGAATATGTTGCTTGGGTGCTGACCTCCAAGGAGCTCTTTGACTAAGCGATTTGAAGCATACATCGTGCTACAAACATGGTCGACCAGGGGGACCATCTTGGAACCTTCGCTGACCAGGCGTGCCAGGCGACAGGTTGCATCATGCCTCCAGTATGGCAAGCGAAGCTTCGTATCACAAATGCCGCGAATTAGTTTGAGGAGAGTGTATAGACATACTATGGTGGCTGCCGGGTGAACACTTGTATGAAAGCCCATCTAAACAAAGACAACACGTCCAGCAATCATTGTCTTACACGCTTGTCCCCATCCATGTATGGTTGCGTATTTTTGTATGCGCAACCCGTGCATGAGGACCATTTGCAGAGTTGCGTTGTTGCATGTTGCAGGTGTTCGGAATTACGGTTGGTTTCAAGCGCGCCATCCTTCCTCCGCGCTGCCGCGTGCGGTGGGGCAATCATTTATTTTGTCGGTGCCTTATTGTCCCGCGGGACCAGTTACTTTTGCAAGAACGATTGGGCAGTAGACAGTCTCACGTTTCCAGTTATTCACAACTCTTTGAAGCGCCCCCAGTTTGAAAACGCGCCGCTCCCCGTCTGGGGAGAGGGACAAGGACAGGGAGGAACGAGGGGGGAAACAAGAGGACGAGGAGGTGGAACGAGTAGGAGGAGGACAAGGACGAGGGGGTGGTCGTGGACTGTTTTTTACGCGTTAATGGGACTTCGAGGAGGTAGGTGACACGGGAAACGTGAAGGTGGCCAATCCATGTCAAGGTTCTTTGGTTTGACCTCGGTGCCCGTCCCCGTGAGTGTTCGTTTTGCTTGTTCTTCATCGCCCTCCACCTCATCCCTTCATGGGGACGGGCACCGAGATCAAGCCCAGGCACTTGGATATCTGTTGACCACCGCCACTTCCCCTATGCCATGCACCTCCTTGACATCCTTCTAACGCATAAGAAACAGTCCCCGATAACCCCTCGTCCTTGTCCTCCCTCTACTCCTCCTCTTCGTTCCGCCCCTCATCCTTCTCTTCGTCTTCCTCCTCATCTTCCTTCCCATCCCATCTTCCTTGATTGTTATCACCTTCCTCATATTATGTTTCTTCCTCTTATTCCTCCTCGAGGCCCAGTGCGACACGGGCGCCCTGGGCGTCCAAGGGTTTCGGGGGGGTTCAGGGGAGGGCCCTCGAAGGTGCCCGGAAGGTCCGTGGAGCAAAAGCTCGTTGGCGACGCTCAACGGAGGGGGGCGGAAGGCCCCCATCCAGGGCCTTCTCCTCATCCTCCTCCTCCTTCCTCCTCCCCTCCTTGACGCGACGCAGGAATAAAAACGCGTCGCTCAGAAAATCTTGCCTAAGGAAACCCCAGACGATGGATGGCTTTGACTTAGTCTTGTGGATATAGAGATCGCTCGTGAGAGCGATCGTGGGATCGATAGTCAGGACGACAGTAAGGTTGATCGTGAGACCGATCGTGAAGTCGATTCAGTGAGATCGACAGAGAAATCGATCGTGAGATCGCTCGTGCGATCTAGAGCGAGATCGATTGTGAGATCGACTGTGAGATCGAGATTCTGAGATCGATGGTGAGACCGATCGATCAGGAGATCGACCCGGAATCCGGGAACCTGGAAACCCAAGAACCCCGCCGCCCACAGAAGTCGGCCCAGAGCCAGCGACCTGAACCCGGGAACTCGGAATTTGGAACCCGGGAGCACGGTTGCCCACTAGAATCGGTTGGATTTGTTTTCCAAATTTTCGAATTACGCCAGAGGACAACCCCAATCAGTGGATGGTTTGAAAATTCGTGTGATGGTTATTGAGATCGACTGTGAAATTGATAGTGAGATCGACAGTGGGATCGATAGTGAGGGCGAAAGTAAGGTCGATTCAGTGAGGCCGATAGTGAAGTCAATTCAGCGAGATCGACAGTGAGATCGATCGTGACATCGCTCGTGCGATCTGGAATGAGATCGATTGTGCGATCGATTGTGAGATCGATAGAGGTGTGGATAGCGAGATCGACGGTGAGACCGACCGATAAGGACATCGACCATGAACCCGGGGACCCGGAAACCCGGGAACCCCGCCGCCCACCGAAATCGGCCCGCAGCCAGCAACCGGGAACCCGGGAACCCGTTCCCAACCGGGAACCTTGGAACCCGGCCGCCCACCGAAATCGGCCGCCCATTTTCGTCAAATCCTTCAAGGTCCGCTGGGACCCCTTCATTGCAAGCACTGATTGGGAAACATCCGCGAAGACCCCTTCAATGCAAGCACTGATTTGGGATACCAGATTCCGTGTGTTTGATTGGTAATATTTATGGTTTGGCGACGTTTTGGTCAACGGCCAGGGAGATACCCAGAAGGACGAACGTCCTGGAAATTATTGACGCTTCACGCAGCCCATCCAGAAACGATGCCCAGGGGAGTTGAGGTAATCAGGGAAGTGGGGGAGCATGCAGAGGAACAACGGGCTGGGGATGCTGTCCGATCCTCTAAGAGGGGGGGGGGATGGTGGAGGAGAAGGAGGAGGAGACGGAGGAGGAGGGCGAACGGCAGGAAGGAGGAAGACGCAGTGGACAAGGAGTAGGAGTAGGAGGAGTAGGAGGAGTAGGAGGAGTATAGGAGGAGGAGGAGGAGAGGAGGGGAGGAGGGGGAGGAGGAGGAGGACGAGGAGGAGGAGAGGCGGAGGAGGAGGAGGAGGAGGAGGAGGAGGAGGAGGAGAGGAGGGGCATCTTGACGAGCCCAGGGCCGTCTTTGAGCGTCTTGGGTGCCTCGGACATCCTCTTGAGGCGTCTTGGGGGTCTCTTGTGAGCTTCTTGGAGGCTTCCTGGACGCCTCTTGGGGCCGTCTCGGCGCCTCTTGGGGCCATCTTGGGGCGCTCTTGGGAGCCTCAGGAGCGCTCTTGGGGCCATCTTGGAGGAGATCGATCAAAGAAGAGGGGTTCCCCCATTCGCCTCCCCCCCCCCCCCCCCCTGGGAGCCCCAAACGACGCTTCTTGTGGCGCTCTTGAAGCGCTCTTTGGCGCACTTGGGGCCGTCTTGGGCTCTCTTGTGTCTCTCGTGGGGCCCTCTTGGGCCATCTTGGAGCGATCTTGAGCCCTCGGATGGCCATCGGAAGCGAAAAAGGCGAGACAGCAAAACATATTGAGGTTTCCCAGGTTTGAAGAATTTTGGTTTCTTGAAGGGCCTCCTCGGAGGTTCGGAGGCCTCTTTGGAGCCGTCTTGGAGCGTTCGTGAGGCCTCTTGGAGCATCTTGAGAGCCGCTTGAGGCATCTTGGGCTATCTTGAGTCTCTCGTGGGGCCCTCTTGGGCCATCTTGGAGCGATCTTGAGCCCTCGGATGGCCATCGGAAGCGAAAAAGGCGAGACAGCAAAACATATTGAGGTTTCCCAGGTTTGAAGAATTTTGGTTTCTTGAAGGGCCTCCTCGGAGGTTCGGAGGCCTCTTTGGAGCCGTCTTGGAGCGTTCGTGAGGCCTCTTGGAGCATCTTGAGAGCCGCTTGAGGCATCTTGGGCTATCTTGAGCCATCTTGGAGGTTCTCTTGGGCTCTCTGAGGCGCTCTTGGAGCCATCTTGAGCGAAAACGTGCCCTCTGACACCTCGCGGGGCGCCCCGTCCAGGTCCAGGGGAGGGGGTATGGGAACAGGGGTGAACCCCTCCCCGAAGTGGAAGAAAGGGGGTTGGAAGAGGAACCTCCCGAGACCACCTGCGCCCAGAGGGCTGGTGGGATTTCGGTCCCCTGAAAGGCCCCAGACGCACGCCAGAAAACCTGGGGTGCCTCAGGTGCCCTCGGGCGTCGTGGAGGGCCAGCTGGTCAAGCGGCTCTCCGCCGAACTGCCTGGCCCCTCGACTTTCCTCTCTCCCTCCTGCTTCCACTCTCTCCTCCTCATCCCGCTCCTCCTGCTCCTCTTCCCGCCTCTCCTGCTCCTGATCCTCTTCCTCGCGCTCCTGCTCCTGCCCCCGCTCCTCCTCCTCCTCCTCCTCCTCCTCCTCCTCCTCCTCCTCCTGTTCTTCTTGCTCATCATCATCATCAGCATCAGCATCATCATCATCATCATCATCATCATCATCATCATCATCATCATCATCATCATCATCATCATCATCATCATCATCATCATCATTATCATCATCAGCACCATCATCATCATCATCAGCAGCATCAGCATCAGCATCAGCATCAGTATCAGTATCAGTATCAATATCAGCATCAGCATCAGCATCAGCATCAGCAGCATCAGCATCATCAGCATCATCATCATCATCATCAGCAGCAGCAGCATCATCACCAACAACATCAGGAGCATCAGCATCAGCAGCAGCAGCAGCATCATCATAGTTTTTGGCTCCAGAGTTTTGGGACTTTCTCGTGCTGAGGCTATGCGTACGGCGGCCGCTGCCAATGTGCGCGCACGGGAGGCGGCCCGCGTCGGC